CGTACAAATCAAGAGCTCAAATTACATGTGTCCTAAAAAAAATATTATTTCAAAATAAAAAGGACAAGACAAGCAGTAATCTATACTATTAATAATTCCCTTGCCTTCCTCGTGAAAGTCCTATAAATCAAAACAAAAATAAATCAAAACTCAAGCCAAGACACACATAAATTATAAGCATTTCCTTTCATTCCAATTTCCCCTCGTTACGATGGCAGCAATAGAATAGGAGGTGGCCCAGGAGTTAGCGTGCTAGCCTCACTGTGCAGTGGGTGTGTGTGTGTATATCCAGGGATCACTCACCACGGGTCATGATGAGCTCTATCTCTGCGAGGGTCAGTCGTGAGGCAAACACAAAACATTGGTGAGATAAAGGACCTTTTTTGGTAATTTATTCTGTTTGCTTGTTGTAGTTTTCTGAAAGTGCTAAACGCACCTTACGACACTGGAAGGTTATTTCATTTTTTTTTCTTTAAGTGTACGGATTTAACGCCCCTATCAACACTATAAGGTTGTGCAAGAGGCGGGTGTATAGGTTTTAGCGCCCCTTGCAACCCTAATGCTATCTCAGAGGCAGGACCACCGAAATCAACACCAATCTCTGTATAGGAAAAGGACTAAGGTTCATGGGAAAATTCGTAAAAAGTGCCTATCCCTTGGACACAACATCGGACCGAGCTGAACGCTCAGGATTCTGACCAGGGTCCCCCCCTACACTACTGTCCAGAGGATATTAACCTCCCGACCTAGTGAGGTATTCACAGAAGGGCCAGGGAACACAGACATAGGAAATGAAACACCAACAACAATCTTAGAAGAAATTTGGTGAGCTCTAGTGTGGTTTGTTCCTTCTTTCCTTTGTGGGGGACACAAGTTGGTTATTTTCACGTTAGTTCGTAATACAGCTTGGTTTTACTTAGCGAGTCGAAATGATTGAAGTATCTTATTTGGTAAAATGATGTTTACAAAAACTCAGCAATTTATAATTTTAAATAGCAATATTTACTTCTTTAAAAAAAAGATCAATGGTCGTAATAAAATCGAGAATTCTGTTGGGATCAACTCTTCTAGATAGAACAATTAAAAAATTTCCTTCCGGTCTCTCCAAAGTTCAGACCTTCTGATAGTGATATCGGTATCAAAAATGGTTTTTCTGCTTCCTGCAGTAGTAATTTAGGTGGGGGGGGGGGTTCTTTGTTGGGGAGGGGGGTTGTTGCTTTCGGTAAGAGTTTTAAGGCATTTGCAACAAAATAAGGTCATATAAGTGCCGAAGATAAGAGGTGTTTCAAGAGATTAACAAACACAATAAAAAGAAGAAAGAGATCAGGACGATTGATGTTTGATAGAAAAGAAGGAACAAACCACGCTAGGGCACCCGCCAACCACCCGCTCTGCAGGAGGTATGTATGCGTTAAGGAAGTGTGTCATCCACAGATTCAGTCTCTGGAAGGTTAGACACAAATCAAACAACAAAGACAAGGGAGGGGGGGGGGGCTGGGCGGGAGCAAAATGAGCAAACACATCACACAAAGTCTTGTCAGTATACAGTCAAATCCAATGCATTTAGTACCTAGACTGCTAAAAGACATCCTGAAGCAAAAAACGAACCTTGATCATTCATTATTAACGCTTTCGCTCTCTCGCCTGAAACTGTATATAAACAAATTTTCTAAGCTTATGAAGGAGTTCTAGCAGTGAAGGGGTTAACAGGCTAGCCAAGAAGTTTACTTAGATGGATCGTCACTCGCCAATTCAGTTTACGAGGGTGAAATGGATGCGAGAGGCATTCTTTTTTTAATAGGGCAAGAAACATCAACTTAATGCAGCAACACAACTATAAGCGTAATTGACCTTAGCATCAGAAGAGAAAGAGAGAAAGAGAACTTCGGGGGGGGGGGGGGAAAGAGGGGTGGGGGTGGATAACAGAACAGAGAGTTCCAAAGGCAACAAATGAGAAGACAAAGGGAAGAAAAGAATCACAAGGGAAGCTCTATTGAATGGAGCACCACATTTAAAGTACTTTTGTTTCAAACTGGATTTCGCAATTGAATAAAGTGGTCCACGTATATTTTAGTTTTGTCTTGGTTTGGTTTGGGTTTTTAAAATATTTTCCCCTTCACATGAAAGCTATTTTTAAATTTTATCCAAATTAACTTCTTCTCTTTGAAAAAGGCAAAATGGCTCTAGGTAACACAGTAGCCTCCAATGATATATTTACGGGTGCGCCAGCTCCAGCTGTCTATGTTTACTACAGTTTGACCAAACTCTAGTCCCACTTTATTGCTACTACTGTCTCGGAGTACCTTATGATGTGGCCAAGATCAGAAAATTGCCATTATAAATTCTAAGTTGTTGGAAGAGCAAAAAAAAAGTTAACAGGTACACTACATCCAGTCGTCTATGTTTACGTACTGTTTGGCCAAACTCTAGTCACACATAATGATAATGATCTCTGTGTATCTACACCTTGGGCCAAGAACAGAAAGTTGTTAAAAGAATTTGCTGTTTCAGGAACAGCAAAAAAACCCCCAAAAAACAAAAAAAATGAAATGGAGGACAGAATACCACCATTAATTAGTGATGGAGGTACACGTTAATGTTTTCGCTTCACGAACGAAAGTTACTGGACTTGAAATAAGTATTACAACAGAGCATTTGTTGGAGAATAGAAGGAAGCGTGTACAGACACACGAGGGGAAATAACTTCTGGAAGTGAGATTCAAAGGAGGTAACTATGAAAAAAGGCGGTTTCTACTTCAGGGGAGGCAATTTGTGTTTACACAAAAACTCAAACTCAACATACACTGCCTTGACGACACTGGGGTTCCTGAAGGACAAAAATTGTGAGCTCAGAAACAAATTACAAAAGCAAAAAAAAAAAAAAAAAAAGATATTAACACATTTCTAGCGTTTCAAAAGCAAATAAATGATTTATACTTTTAGTCATAGATGTCATTTTTGTTATGAAATGTGTATTTCAAGTAATGTGGGACTACAGCCTTAAACACTGAATACTTACTTAAACAAAACAAAAAAAGTAAAACAACAACCCAAAACAAAAGTTGGGATTTCAAAATAAATAATATACTGTATTAAAATTTTCTAGGAATAGTTATGCCTCTAAAGCGATTTTTAAGGAATATACTATGTTAGTCAGGATTTAAAAGATGGTGTAATAAAATAATGGTTTCTTCACAGCATTAAGGCAACAACAATGGCAAGATGAGAATTCAGGGTGCACTTTTCTGACCATTTACAACAAGTCTAACACTGTGAAACAACCTAAAAAGGTAGTGCTTTCTTTATATGCTCTAAAAAGCCATGCTCTATGTCAATAAATATGAAAGCTTAAAACCATTTATCAAATTTTTTTACTTGTTTTGTACATAAACTAGTAAATAAGTACCCAAAAAATATTAATAAAAATATATTTTCAAAAATGTAGAAACTAACCAAAAAGTTAAAAAATGTGAATAAAAATGAGAGAACGCAGAGTACAAAAAACCCAAAGATAATAAAGGTGAATTCTACAGAAAGAAAAAAGAGGAAAAATATAATATGACATTACTACAGAAACAACAACACTGAGCAGAGGCAAACAAAGGAGAAGGGACGGGTGGTAAGCCAGAGGGCAACACACAGCAACATAAGGCCACTCACAGAAATCAGGAAGGGCACAGGAGGGGAAGACAGGAATCATGGCACGTGTACACACACACAGGAAGGTGGACAGATCAACACACACACCTACACACACACACACACACACACACACACTCACACCGCACATATTATTAACACATACATACACATTAACGCACAAAGACAAACACAATATATATGTCTCAAAAGACCAGTCAAAATTAAGAGGAGCCACTGGAAACAATGTAGCAAATTGCCCAAAAAAGATTAAAAAAAAACCTAGATTAAAATAATCAACATTTTTCTTTCTCAAGTCATGTATGCATTTCTCACACCAAACCAAAAAGTCAAAGGTGAGCAGAAGTAAGTGCCAATTTGACAATTAACGAAACAAATTCTTGCACTTTCAAATTTATCAAAATCACTTTTGACATTTTGACTGGAAGCAAGCAAGACATAAACAAACGCTCTACACAAAAGAAGACCACAATACTGCTAATATTATTATCATATAAACAAATTAAACAGTAAACAGTCAACTACAACTGCAACGAACCCCCCTCTCCTCCCCCTCCCTCCCTCCTGTTCAACCTCCCCATCACTCTCTCTATCTCACCTGCTGGATGGAACGGGTAGAAGTCAATGGACAGCTTGTAGAAAGTGATCTGCATGGAACCTCCATTGATCTTCCAGTGGCGCTTCTCGTCTTCCGCTATATGAGGGAGTCACGTAGAGAAGAGAAAACAAAAACAATTGTTTATTATGTGAGGGTTTAGTAGCTGTTTTTTCCTCACTACTTCAGCTTGATAAGACAAAACAAATTATGGCAAATGGAAGGGCAAAAGAAAGGGATGCAAAGGGAATAGAAGTAACTCATGTTGATGAAAGAACATCTAGGTGAACATAGTAACTCTCCCCTCAGTCGATTTGATATTTGATGGTACAAGTACTAAATAGAAAGTAATTCTTATGGAGCCTATGTCCTTTTACTTGACCTCTCAGCAAAGATATACTTCAGAAATAATCCCTAAAAGTATGATCTTTGCACCCAAGTTCATCTTCCAGTAACGCTGCTTGTCTTCCACTATACACATCCGGCAGAGAAGAGGAAAAGATAAACAGAACTGTTCACTGTGCAGATTTGTTTGGGTACTGTGTTTGTTTTTTTTGCTTTTGTTTTTTTTCAATTTTCACTGGTCCAGCTTAACAAGTCGAGTTAGGTCAAGGGGAGGGAAAGAAGGAAGCAGAAGGGAAAGGACGCAAACTTCAGTTGATGAAAGAACATCTTTGTGAACATAGTGACTTCCCTTCATCCATTTGATGGCATACATCAACGAGCTTATATAGAATTCTTTTTAATTTTGTCCTTTGTGGTACATGTACCAAATAAGTCCAAAAAGTGATTTGCTTGGAGCCTCCGTTGATCTGCCAATGACTCTTCTAATCTTCCGAATACATAACAGGTAGAGAATGGAAAAAAGATAAAATGCTTGAATATGTGACTTTGTTTTGAAATCTTTCCTTTTTTCCCTTTTTCTCTGCTTCAGTAAGGAAGGTAAAGGGAAGGGGGAAAAAGGGGGCTGAAAAGAAAGGAAGTGAAATCTTGTTGATGGAAAAACTTCTGCCTTCGTCAATTTGATTGTACATTCACTAAATAGAAATTGATCTACATGAAGCCTCTGTTGTTCTTCCAGAGACGCTTCACGTCTTTCCACTATACACAGCCAAGTAGAGGGGAGATGATGAGAGAAAAAATAACTGCCTTGTTTTGGGTCCTTTTCTTTTGTTTCTTTTCCACTGGTTCAGCTTGACAAGTCAGCTCAATAGGCAAGTAAAGTGAAGGGAAACAAAGGGGACAGAAGGGAGGGGTAAACGAATTCTTGTTGAGGAAAAAATAAGTGTGGGATCAAAGTGACTTCCCTTTGTCGATTAGATGGTATTCAATAGAAAGTGATCTACCTAGAGCTTCCATTCATATTCTAGTGAAGCCTCTCATCTTCCACTACTATACATAATCAGAAGAGAAGTGGAGAGAGAAAAAATGCCTCATTAAGAAGATAAGTTGCCTTTATTTAGGAAAGAACTACACCAACAACCAATGTTGCCGTTCAGTTGCCTCTTACGACACACTAGCCCCACGCCAGCCCTATTCTTCTCAAAGCCGGGGACTGCATGGCAAACAAAACAGCTCAATATGAGAATACCCCCCCCCACCACCCCCCATCCCCATTAAAACATGTTTAAAACAAAATAATAAAGGACCAGTAACACCCTCCAACCAACCACCCACCCTATCGCATACCCTTACCCGGGCTGCTGTCATCACAGAGGTGAAGGTCAAAGCGGCTGGTGATCAGGTGGTAGGAAGTGCTGACCACGTCAAACTTGGAGAAATACTTGGCAGTGGTGGACTCCTGCCTGTCTGGCGCTGACCGTTGCTGCTGCTGCTGGTAGTGCTGTTGGGTCCCGTCCTGCATATGGCCTTGTTTCTGAAGAAGAATAGTAATATCCTTGGTAAGTTTTTCAAAGTATTTTTGCAATTCTTCAATTTCACTGGAGAAATATTTTCCTCTAAAGATGTATTGGTTATCATCACACATTGACGGACGAGCTATTACTATTATTATCATCATTATTATTATCAATATTGTTTGATAAGCAGAGTAGAAGGGAGAGTCTTGTTTGAATTTCAGACAAAATAACATAACATAAAATGTTAAAAATTTGTTTAAGAGCTTAACATTTCGTCTCTTGGGCTTCCTCAGGAGCAACTGAAAGAAAAAAACTAAATGTGTGCTGTATACTAGCAGGGAAAAGGGCCTAACAAAGGAGGGTCTTAAGATTATGCGTGGTTACAGGTTAGACGGAAGTGACTCAGAGCGAACCAGGCCAAGGGGCTAATTATAAAGAAATTGGCACTTGTCTAGCAAGAGTACCAAAGAATTTTATCACTACAACAGGCTGACAGGAAGTTAATAGTGTGAATGTGGGGTAATCAAAGGAAATGTTTGGGTGTACTTTATAGAGACATCCCAGTTGGAGGTAAAAGGAGGGAGACAGAGGCATTATTATCATAATTATTGTCATAATTATTAATTGTACAACCAGAAAGCAAAATTTTACTGGAGAGAGAAAACACTGTTTTATTCAACAGAGGTCCTGAGCAGGATGGCTCAGTATATAGTGAATACTGAACTTCAAGTGCGATTTGATCTTGAAGAAAAAAAGAAGACTTTCACTTTTTTAACAATTGTACCTACAATATGAATGAATCTTTTCTAGCCCTTTTCAACACCTAGAATTCCAGTTTCGATAAAGTATTTTTTAAGCACATGCATCCGATACCACACATTCACTGATTAAGAAACTAAAACAAAATTTTTAATTTTTTTTCAGAAATGTGGGTTACTTATATCGAAACAGCTGACCAACGATATTCATTAAATTTATGTTTCATGTTCAGTCTTTTTTCCGTCCTCTTCTCAGAAGCACACATATACTGTAATACATGTGCCTACACTGACACACACACACACACACACACACACACACAAACACACATACACACACACACACACACAGACACACTTACGAACACATATTAAGTCAGAAAAATAGACATACAGACTGACACAAGCAGACACTCAGAAAAATAGATACACACACTTCCACTTCCAAAACACGCATGCACGTACGCACACACCTCTCTCTCATTTCTGTCCCCCCCCCGAAAAAACCTTCCTCAAATCATTACATCCACCTCCCCCCACCTCACTCCTCCATCCCCTCCTACCTCTCTCTCATTCCCCTCCCCTCCCAACCCCTCCCCCAGATCACCCATCAACCTCCCACACCTTCAGTTTCTCAGCGGCCAGTGTTTTGCTCTGCCGCGCCGAGCGTTCGATGAGCTCCTTCAGGGAGTTGGCATACAAGATGGCCGCCTTGAGCTGCGTGATCGTCAGCACCCACAGGAGGTCGTCCAGAAGCAGGATCAGGCGGGACGAGATGATGGCCGAGTCTGGAAAGCACGGGAGAAGAGGTGGAAGAAATTCTTATTATAATTGTACAAGAGAGACACTCGATAGCTGTGCACATCCACAAAAGGAAGCAGGAGCTTTAAAATGTTAAAAATGTGGCATACTTTTCCTTGTCAGAATTGGTCTCATCGGCCACAGAAGAAACCGCAAGTCATCTTTAATGTTTAAATCTTGTTGGAGTGTGTTGATAGCGGGTGCTGATGTCTTGTTTCCAATGCTTTTCTTAAGTGTATATAATTAATGTACCCCTGGGAAAGTTCTTACTTATGCAGGTTAATTGGTTTTCTTGTTCAAATGAAATGTTTTTCTAGTTTGAAGTTTTACTCTCAGTAACCATGTCATCGGTGTAAAATGTTCAGAGCTTAAAGTAGTATGGGATAAAGCGCTATGTACATGAAATCTATTATTATCATTATTATTATATTTAATATTATTATCACACGTTTTTCGCCCATATTAACACAGTTTAGATCATGTAGGTGATGGTTTAATCTCCAAGGTAAAAGATTAAAGGGAAGACCACATGGAAAATGGAGAAAAGTCACAGAGAATAATGTACAGAAAAGTGGGAAGTCATTGAATAATATCAAGAGCCCAGGATAGGGAAATGATGAAAGTATTTGTTCCTAGCCTACATTTCTATCCAGGGTGAGAAAGACAGTGAGGAGGAGGAGGAGGAGGAGGAGGA